GTGCAGCTGGACAGCACAGCAAAGGGAGCTGGCCACAACTCCCGGGAGGAAAGCAGGTTCTGGGACTCCCATAGGCAGTGCCATCCCCCTCAGCTCTGGTGTTAAGCAGAGTTTGGACAACGTCCAAGGGTCCCAACCTGGCGATGCCACAGGCTCAAATCTATGCCAGCCCCACCTGAGGTGGCAAGGTCCCCCGGGGCTCCCTGAAGCCAAGCGCAGGGAGGTGACCTCACACTATCTGTATGCCCAGTTCCTCTGCTGTCTTCTGCAGCCGGTCCATGACATTCTCCTCCGGCTCCTCGGTGAGGCCGCCGGGCGCACCTGCCCACTCCTCAGGGTACGTGCTAGCCATGACATAGAACACTGTTTCACTCTCCCCATGCTCATTGGTCTGGTTCATGACATGGATAATAGTGTCAGAGGGGGTGCTGGGCTCTTGCTTCAGCAAGGCACCTGGCTGTGTTGTCCCAGGGCAGGCCACAGCATACAGCAGGGGCAGCGGCGTGGCCACGTTGTTGGCTTCCTCCAGGGAAGCCTCCACAGGTGGTTCCACGATGATCACCTGCAGGTTGCTCTCGTCCTCGGGCAGGACCATGCACTCGCCAGCGCCATCCAGTGCCTCGCCCTGCTTCTCCTGCTCCTTCAACAGCTGCTCAGTCAGCTCCACGCTCTCATAGCGCACCAGCTGCAACCGCATGTAGCCATCCTCATGCTCCTTGTACCTGATGGGCCAGACGGAGGGACAGTAGAGCTGGCAAGCAGGACCAATGCAGCCAGCAGAAGGAGCATTTACTTGGGGCACAGCCCTGCATGCCAACACACCTGATGGGGTCACTCAGGCATCAGCAGGGGCTGCTCACTCCTCCCCCTCCCCAGGAAGTAATGCTGCAGCCTGGACCATGGGCAAGCCCCTACACCAGGCTGTTCCTGGTTCAATGTGAGGGCGCAACAGGGGAAGCCTTGCCAGGAATGTCAAATCTAGCACATCAGTTGCCTCTCTGACCCCAGCCTGTAGACCCTGCATTTCCAGCCCAGCCCTGAAGTCTAGTGATATGGAGCAAAAGGAAGGGAGAAGGGGGGCCAGAGTTCTAGTACCTGAAGCGAGGGTGGCCCGAGGGCCACTTGAACTGATGCTTTTTCCGGAGGTGCACGGTGAGGTTGTTGCCCCGCGTGAAGCATTTGTCACAGACATGGCACTTATACCGGGGCTCTGAGTCACCCTGCAGAGGGGTGGGAAGGAAGGAAGGATGTTACAGTCACAGCTCCCAGCCAGCGGCCCCGGGTGCTCCCATTCAACAGGCGACTCTTCCACCTGCTCCCCAGCAGACCCCACTGTCCAGGCTAGAAGCACAGTACTGCCATGCAAGCATGGAAAGGTAAGGCCAGGGCAACAGACGGCACTGGCAAAGAGAGGCCTCCCACATACCCCAGGGACCTGTGGAGAATCACGCAGCAGACAGTATTGCCTCCATTGCTGGTTTTAGCTCTCCATGCCCTTGGCTGAGAGCTCTTTCAGGAAGCATCTGTCTGTTTACCCGTACCGCGCTTGCTGCTTGGTAAAAAAAAAAATCTTTAGCACTTAAGAGTTGCTGCTGTTCCCGGCACCAGTCCCTGGCGGGGAGCGCTTCCCTGTTCTCAGCCCAAGAACAGAGTTCTGAAGAGATGAAACACCAGAATGAAACGACAGAGAAAACTCCACAGTCCCCAGAGGCCCCAAACCGGCCCATCCAGCACCAGAGCTGCTGAAGTCATCAGCCCTGCTGTGTGGGGGATGAGGGGGGACAGCCGGGACAAAGGAGCAGCTATGTGCTAGCAGGTACTGCATGTGAACACACGGACCCAAGCCTGGGGAGATGAGCTGCGCAGACCAAGAGCCTCACAGGTGATTGGGGCCTGACTCTTAGGTAGGTACCTTAGGGCAGGTCTCCAGTGTCCCCAGAGCTCTCGGGCAGGGACACTCCACAGCACGCCCTGCCCACCCCCCAGGGCCCTCTCAAGGGCAGTGTCTAGCAGTCTCAGGGCCGAGTGGACCTGGGGATTCCCCCCCAGGGTGCACTGAGGCTACAATGTAGATACACCCTGGGCCTCAGTTTCTCCCTATGCATAGAGGGGATGATTGCATTACCCTCTCTTCATGTGCACATATTGTTTCTTTCCATGTACAGGGCCTAGCATGAGGGACTCCCAGGATTTGCTCAGGGCCTCCCAACCTTCCAGAGAAGCCCCAACTGAGAGTGGCAGAGCCCTGGGGTGCCTCCCACCTCATGGACCTTGCGGTAGTGCAGCTTGATGGAACACAGGGAGCGAGCGGAGAAGCTGCAGCCCTCGAACTCGCAGCGATAGGCCGGCTCTTTGCTGTGTGTGTCAAGGTGTTTCCTCAGACCAATTAAATTCTTGCAGCTGAAAGGACAGAAGAGAATGAAGCCAAGCAACCAAGCAGGCCCTGTTCTGCCACCACCCCCCTGCGAAGGACTCCTTCCTGCAGCCCACCTGTAGTCACAGTTGTCACACTTGAAGGGACGTTCCTCGCTGTGGCGGAAGCGCATGTGGTTGCGCAGGGAAGAGGGCAGCGGGCAGGTCATATCACAGAGAGGACACTTGTAATGGTTAACTGAAAGAGAGGGACCGAGGGAGCTGTTATCATGGGCCAGGGAAGGGAACATGCTCAACGACGGGGCAGGGGAGGATGTCACTCACCATGGTGCCTCATGTGATCACGAAGCAGCCTCTCAGTGGCAAACCTCTTGGAGCAATGAGAGCACTGAAACCTCTGCTCTGTAATGGGGAGGGGGAGAAAGAGTGATAAATGAGATCTGAGGCAGTAACTAGTGGCCAAGACAGACAGCTGCAGCCACTGATGTGCCTTCCAGCACCATCACAGCATTCCTTGGGCTGCCACATGCACAAATTAGGAAGCACTGAGCTCCAAAACAACCTTACTGCCTCTAGTAACTGGGAACAAGAGATGTGGAAGCTGGGAATAAAAATGCAGAAACTAACAAATCCCTCTCGCTTCTGGCTCCAGGCCCAGCCTCAGCACCCCCTGCCCCAACTCACAGCCCAGGGTCACCCCCTGTACTCACGGTCCAGGGTAGTCTGCCGGCGGATGTGGTCAAAGAATTTGGTGTTGTTGGCAAACATCCCCCCACAAGTTGGACACGCCACCACCTTCTCCTGCGTGTGGCTGCGCAGGTGCTCCCGCAGCTTGCAGCGCCCCTTGAAAGTGCAGTCACAGTCTGAATGCAAGAGGAAGAACAGATGCTGGTCAGAGCCATGGCAGAGACCCAGGAGCACTGAAACGCTGCCGGCAGCACAAAGAAAAGCGCCTTGAAACCAGCCAGGTCCACCCCAGGGAAGCCTCCAGTTTGCTATTCCACTGTGCGACAGGTTGTCACTACCCATAGAGGCTAATAAAAGATGCACTGTAGACAGTATCCTGAGGCTTGACCCAGCTTGCAGCCACTATCCTACAGGACACACAGGTAGCAAAGGCAGTCACAAGAATGAGAGCCAGCACAGCTATTTCCTCAATAAGCACTGGCATCGTGGCCTTAAAGCATTACAGCACTTTAGCTCCGCTAGACCAGCATGGCAACAGACAGATGAAATGGCTGCACAGGCCCACCCGATGTTAATCTCCCTGAGCCTGGGTTTTAAAACAGCTTCATGTCAAGTCTGCCCAAGCTGAGCTTGGCGTACGCTGCTGTACAGGAGGGTGAGCAATGAATGAAGCAGGGCCTGATGCAGGGGCATTCAGAAACCCCTAAACCGGTGTAAATCATTAGATATACAGTAAAAGCTCTGTTATCTGGCATCCCCCGGGAACGGGGGATGCCGGTTAATCAAATATGCACCGCCCGACAGTGTGCCAGGGGACAGGGAGGGGGACCCCCCATGCAGGCTGCTTTGCCCCAAGCTGTAGAAGTGGCAAAGAAAAACTTGGCTCACGGCAGCAAAACAGGAAGTTCCCCGGAAGTGGTACTGCCGGTTCCGCTTTGGCCGCATCCCTGGGTTGCCGGTTAATAGACTTTTCCAGCTAACAAAGTGCCAGTTAACGCAGCTTTTGCTGTCATTTGCTTCCCAACCCCCTTTCACCCTCTCCCCCAAGAGCTCTCACGTGGCTGTCGGGTACCTTTCCAGCCACACGCCACCACGTGGTTCTCCTTCCCAGCGACCTTATAATCCAAGCAGAAGCTGTGATCCTCCACGTGCCGGTAGAACCACTCCGGGTTATCGAATGACCTCTACGGGGCAAGAGGGAGTTGGGGGGCAGACAAACAAATAACCGTTAGCGTGGACGAGTCCTCGTTTGACAGAGCTCCGGGGGACTCTCCCTCGCCTCGTCCAGAGACCTTGCTCCGATCGAGACGTGGCCACGCGTGCCGCGCTTGCCAGATGACGAAGCGCCGACCGGCTGCCCCGCACTCAGCCCCGAGCAGTGCCGCGAGCGGCCCTCACCTCGCAGTACTCCCACAGGCACTGGAAATTTTCCTGGATCTCTGGCACGATGTTGCGGCTCTGGAAATCCAGCTGGCAGTGGCTCAAGTCCGGCTGGCTCTGCAAGGCCTGCAGCCCCCACTGCTTTAGCTTTGTGTGGTAGCAGTGGAAGTAGACGTGGCGGATCAGGTCGGCCAAGCTCTCCGGCGAGCAGAAGCCGCACTCCTGCCACAGGCACGTGTATTCTTCTGCAACGCAAACGGGACACGGACACGTGCCCCGGGTCTGTCAGGGGCCGCATCTCAATCAGAGCACGGCTCCCCCCTAACCCCTCCCCCCGCCGGGGCACAGGGCAATCCGGGGCTCACCCAGGGGGTCGCCGTCGCCTCGCTGGGCGCGGAGCTCCTGCTGCTGCTGCAGGTGCTCGGAGACGTGGGCGCAGAAGGGCTCCATGGCGGCGGCCACGTGGCTGCAGCCGCCCCACTCGCACTGCAGCACCAGCGCCTCGCGCCGCCCCGGCGCCATGTTCCCGGCCCGGACCTTTCGGCGTCCCCGGGGGGGCGGCACGCCGGAGCGCGGAAAGCCGCACACTTCCGCCACGCCCGCCAGCCAATCAACGCGAGGGAAGAAGCTGTGCGGGGTGCGCCGCTGAGCAGTGTCCGGGCGGGAACTGGGCGGGCATCATGGTTCCGGCCAAGTGGCACCGGAAGTGGGGAGGAACAAGGCAAGGGGGGTGACCTTTGACCTCGTTGCCCCCTTAATCTAAGGGACCTTTGACCCCATCAGTGCAGGGGCCTTGGAGCTGTGGGGTCAGGTTCCGTGTGCTGCCCTTTGACCTCACGGGGGTCAGGGCCCAAAGAGTGGCAGGCAGCAAGGGGCCGGGGTTGTGCATGGGCCCCTCACTGGGAGCTCTCGTCCAGCCCCGCTCCCGCCTCGGCCTGTCAGCACTCGCCGATCCCGTCTCGAAGGGATATCATCCGTCCCCCAATCCTGCAGCTCCGTGGGAGCACTTCCTGCCCCTTGTATCTGGTCTCAGGCTTGCCCCTAACCCCTGCCGGATCGTCCCCCCGCCGGGGGAACAGCTCGTCTGATTGTTCGATGGAGTTGCTAACACCTGATCCTGCACGTCGTGAGCGCTGATCATCTTTTCCACCCAATCTGTCTGCGCCCAAATGTATTTGTCTCACTTCCAAAAATTGAGACCGGACATAGGGTGGAGCAGAGACGTACCAATACCTTGCACCTGGCACAGGAAATGTTGCCGAGCTCGAACCCTTCCTCCCCCCGATTTAAGTTTCGTTGTTTGTTAGGTTTCGGGTTGGCGCTCCTGTTGCATCCCTGGCAATTCAGATAGAAATGGTCTTTGAGCCTGGGTGACCTGGGTAATGGCAAGCTCATTGCTATTCTTGCTGTGTGTGTTTGTCCCCCCAAAGTCACAAGAGAGCTCGTATTGGGTTCATTTCCTTCACGTTCAACATCATGAATGACAATGTGAAAACTCATGCAAATAACACTAGGCAAATAAGAGGCAGAAGTTCCAAGTCAGTGCGTACAAACAGCAATTTTGCTGTGAAAACAGACGCGAAACACGGGGACTTTGAAACCTTCCTATAATATCTTCCTTGCAAACAATGATTTCTATTCTCTGGTTGATGTATGTGTGTATAACATAGTCATTATTAATGAGACAGAAAGGTGATAAGGGCTTCTTGCTTGGATGTTTTTTTTTCCTGGTGCCCTGAAATGCTTAATAAATGGAATCATCAGATAATCGAATAAAGAACACTGTAAACATTTACAGACCATAATTTGAATCTCTTTTCTTTCCTCTGTTCTTCTCTCTCTTTACAGAGTCCCTCTAATTACTACTGTTTTCTCCCCCCACCCCCCCCAACACAAAGAGCGAAATCCCCCACTGAATAATGAATTCAGGACCAGGATATAAAAGCTTCAATACTGTGGTTTTCTTAAAGATGGTATCGACGGCAGTAGTCCTGGTGTTTCTGAGTAACAACAACAAAGAGGTGCACAGTCCCACAATGGAAAGATACTTATTATTGAAGGAAACCTCTTAGTCACAAATTTTCCAGGGAAAGTGGTCTTAAAAGCTTGGGGTGTGGGGGTGGAAATTTGTATGTCCTGGCTTTGGCAGCATTTTTCCATGTATATTTTTAAAAACATTTTGCTTCCCTCTTAATACTAGAACTAATTATTTGTTCATATATGACCCAAACCAGGAAAACCTATTGATTTCAATTACACTACTAATCAGCTTGAAGTTAACCACATGCTTTGGTGTGTTGCTGGATTGAGCGGGGGGACGAGGGGTATTATTGATAGTACCCTGCTTGAGAAAAAATAAACCAGCTTTTCACAGTAGGCCTTTATACATCAATGGGATGAACACACATGCTTAAAACTAAATGGGTGCATTAATATCTGCCAAATCAGGGCCCAAGTGTTCAGCATCTAATGAGAATTCACACGGCAGCTGCTTTTCACAGCGAAGCTTGCAGAAGTGTGAAACTCTGCAATATATTATACCAACTGAAATGCAGAGTCAGTCACCCATGTGCTCAGGGTAAACACTGATTGTTGTATAAACATGTAACCCCCCAGCATCCTATAAGATTACAATCACAATAGTGACAGCTGGAGGTCCTGGTCAAACACAGCAAATTAAGTATCAGCTTTATGTTGCATGTTCCGAGATAGCGTTATATAGCAATACACAGTGTTTTGTGATAACACTTAACAATAAACAACAAATATCCCCTTATTTAGCAGCAAGGTGAGGGATTTAAAACCAAAATTTGAATGACACATATCAACACTCGTTCTTACAGTTGCGCGTCTAACACCTTGTGTTAGGAAACAGGGCAGTGAGGTTAGCCAGGTAGCAAATACAAGTCAAAATCAAATGCAGTTGGATAAAATGTGGCCTGTTATGGCGATGGGTCAATACACAGCTGGCTGTATAGCTATATCCTATCACGCATCCTGATTCCACAAATTAAACTTCATGGAAGATGCATAGTTAAATTCAACAGACTGCACAGAAATTTTCATCCCTATGTAATTGGAAAGGCAGGTGCATGTTAAGAGCTTGGTCTGCTGTAGGAAAAGCATTGGTTGCGGTTGGATTTCATCTCTGGCTAATTATTTCCTGTGTTCAGGAGACAGAGCAGTTCCAGGTCTCAAGGGCTTTAATGCAATTATTTTCCATCGATAAAAAAGGCATGCAGAGGGATAGACATTTTCAGCAATACAGGGAGAGCAATCCTAGCTGCACTGCTGCCGATACTCCTGGGACAAAGATTTGCCCTGGGTCTGCAAAGTGGTAGTAAACCAAGCAAATAAGTTTGAGCTGGAAGCAGACAGAGCTGGCGCGGGGGCCTGACAATGGATTGACCTGTGGAAAGCTGTGACAACTTAGGATGCAGAAACATGAGGCTTTTACTGTGACCTCCTACCCTGGCCTGGCTTCACTATCCCACCTGTTGCTGCTGGTCATCAACCTAGGTTCTCTTCTCCCTGCCCCAGGGACCGGTCTCCTTGTTGAAGTGTCAGCCCAGTGCTTAGGATGATGGGGGCACGGATTCCTGTGTCCTGCCTGTGGAGTCTATTGAGATAAAGGCAACAGCAGTAGCTTCTGCGGAAGTGAATTTGGAGGTGAAAAGGGAGACAGAGAATATTCATCAGCGATCGAACCACAAGAAACTTGTGGATGGGGAGAACAGTCTGTATGGGGTGAGCTGAGGATCTCCCTTACATGAAGGACGGAGAAAAGAGGTCTATCAGAGACTCCAATATCCAGGAAGGGTATGAAGCCTCCCATTTGGGAAGCTGCCCCTCCCCTTTGGTTTCTAACCACTTTGGTTCAATTCCTCTCTCCTTGCTTTCTTGGGGCATGCAAGGTATCACCAGGCTAGAGCAGGTTAAATGCACCAGGACCTGTGATTTAACCCTGTTATTTCAGCCCTTCTCTCACCTGCTTTTCTTTCTCCTGGCAGCCACTGCCAACCACTCTGCTTCCCCCCCCCCCCCTTCAAAATAAAATTAAAGATATTTTGGAAAAATAAACTCCCTTCCCCAGTTATGCTGGCTGCACACATGACAGGCCAAATTCATCCCCAGTGTAACATCGCCAAGAGCTCCAGGAATTCAAATGAATGACAGATTTAGCCTAACAACACTCTGGAGCAGCCAACAGAGTCCACAAGAAATGAAGCATTTGATTATGAAGTATATAAGAGCAGCATTTCACAGGTGTAAAAAGAGTCCCATCATAGGCAAGTGGCTGAGCACTAATCTGCACTTCTTCCAGACCAAGTGCTACAGATGTTCCTCATTCCATTCTTTCTTCTACCTATTTCTGTGCTGAGGTTCCTGCATCACACAAAAATGATCTGCCAGCTGCTTAACTGGGGCAAGTTTCTGACCCAAGGGCTAAGCATAAATACAGTTCACTCTGCTGCTTAGTCCAGGGACGGCAGGCACCGAGTTTCTCAGAGTGCATTGCCATCTGCAAGGAGTCTAGTGACGACCAGCAAGAGACCGAACCTGTATTAGTAGAAAGATACTTGCAGATCTCAGAGAACCAGATGAAGGCCTTCCAGATGGAGCTATGAAAAGAGGATCCAGCAGAATGAGGGCTGGTCAAGCCACGTGGATATTCACTTGTGGAGCACCATATTGCATCTGGTCCTGCCGGCTATTGATAAAGTCAGTACCGTGCTTGGTGGCTTTTGTGAAGTTAACTGGTAGTGTCACCCACTTCCTCCAAGGGACCCTATTCACCACTGACTTCATGGGGAACCTCCTCAAGATTTAGTTTTATTTTTAACAGCCAGCTTAGCTTCTTAGATCCTGAGGGCACAGGATGTTGATTTGTTGTTTGTCTGCAGAGCGCCCAGCACCGTGAGGCCAAGATGCCAGCTTGAGGCCTGTAGACACCCTTTCTTCCGCCCTATCCCTTACTCTTTCTGATGTCTGAAGCCACCTGATTACTGAACAACTCATCAGTCTTTTGTGTTAGAGGACTTTTGCTCTCTCCATAAAAGAAATTCCATTTTCACCCATGAATTGCCTTTTCAGTCAAGAGAAAGAACCTTTGAGAAGGACCTGCACTGACCATGCAAATTGCAGTGAAACAGACATCCAAAGATTTGCATTTAAACAAATCCCAAGCAGGCTATTTCAGAGACATCACTAAATTGTGAAAAATACATTCCTGGCAGGCTCCAAAAGGACTCCGTCGGCGTAGAATGAACATTGACTTCAGTCTCACCTGGAAAGCTCATGCAGATTCACTTCCAGAGCCCTCGCAGAATCTGAAAAGGAGGACATACAGCAGCGCTCAGTATGGAAACGGGTGAGTTTCATCCTCGAAACTTTCCAAGAGTTCAAATGTTGCTGTCACCCGCGTTTAATCAAACCAGCAGCGACAGAGAGGAAAAAAAGGAACAGGTACATTATGTGCTGTCTGGGCAGATCTAAACAGTAAGGACAGGACTGGTGCCTTACATCACTATGTGGGCAAC